GCAAGCCTTTACTTGATTCCTATCTTGTATGCTTACCTTGTGCAAACCTTTGTGAATTTTTAACCTTTGAATGTGATTACCATGAACCTTAACAAGTACCTTTGGTTGTTACCTGTGTCTTGAACCATGTCCAAACTTGTTTGAATGATTAAAGTGACGTTTTAACTTATTTTCATGATTGGTTTTCAATTGTCTCCATGTTTAATTATTGTTATGACTTATCCATGCTTGTTGAACTTTTCAATTATATCCATGTCTATGTATTGTGATGACTTATCCATGATAGTTTGAATTTGTGAATTGTATCGATGTTTAAGTATTGTTATGATTTATACATGTTTTGTTTGAACCTTTGAATGGTATTCGTGTTTAAGTATTGTTATGACTTATTCATGTTTGAATTTCTAATTTGTATCCATGTTTAAGTATTGTTATGAATTATTAATGATAGTTTGAACTGCTGAATTGTATCCATGTTTAAGTATTATTATAACTTATCCATGATTGTTTGAACTTTGAGTTCTTTACATGTTTAAGTATTGCTATGAATTATTCATGTTTGAATGTTATCTTTGTTACTCATACTTGATATCATGTTTGAATATCATCCTTGTTCATGTCATCCATATTCACTCATATTGCTCATGTTCACTGAACTTTGCCAAGTTATTCCCAAGTGATGTTAGCTTGTTAGCCTTCATCTTGCTTTGTTATCTTTTGTTTCCAAATCCAAAGGAATGGTCTTTTGTTGACTTTATGTCATAGGTAGCTTACCTTTACCCTAACTCCCCTTTTGACCTTGTTAAAGTCACAAACTTTTCAATTTAGCCTTAGGATAGAGTTTGTAAACTCTATGTAAGTGTTATTGTTATGAACAATTACCTTCCCCTTTAAACCTTGATTATAATCAAGTGTTCTTCACCCTTATTAAGGTAAACTACGATTGCTCTGTGTCGCAGTGAAATTTTGATACCAAACTATTGATTAGTTTGAATCTTTAATTCAATTTTGCAACCGAACTTTGATTTGTCCAAAGGAAGGGGTAAAGATCGAAATTCCCACAATGCAATGAAAATGCAAGCTAGAGATTGTTTTAGGTTCGGGGGTTGGTTAAACTTAGGGAAGGTATTAGCATCCTAAGTTTCTGTAGTACTCTACAGGAACCTCTTGTTTTATGTTTGTTTACTGCTAAGTGTTTATCTGCTTAATGGTTGAAGACCTAGGGGTTTATATCTAAGTATACTCGATAAGATGTCGCATCTTATGCCTACATATCCTTACGGGAGTGGAATTAGAGTACTTGTAGTTCCCCTAAAGGGTTGGAGGAGTTCTTTGACTATGGTCAAAGTTCCTACGGGTTTAGGGTAGTTGTTTTGATTGGTTTTAGGAGAAGAGATGAGTCTTCATGTTAAGGGAGATATAACCGCCACAAGGTGTAGGAAAATAGTCTTTGCATCGTCTTAAGAAAAGGGCTTAAGTACTCGGATTGTTTGACGAGTATGCCTTTATTTCTCTTAAGGCAAAGTCCCTACGGCTTGATTGTATTGTTGTGGGGTGGAGATTCTATCTCGCTTAAGATGATTTGGCATCTTTCTCTATTGTTTGAATATTGAGTTGATTGTTTGAATATTGTTGTAGTATTGTGTGAGTTTGTATTGTGTTTATTTCTATGTTGTAGTAGAAAGGTCCTTCCTATGGGGTAGGTCCTAAACCTAGGTGATCGACTTGAATGGGATCAAGGATCATGGGGAGAATGATGCAAATGATGTGCAACTACACACAATGTTGAATTATGCGTAGGTTTTTCCTTTGGACGGAATGCAATGCGATAAGAATAAATGATGATGGATATAAATTGCGGAAAATAAAGGCGAGTAAATAAAGGCATACACGAACGCATGAAAGCGCTAAGTGAGTGTGTGCATTGTGAATAAAATAAAAGCAGATAAAGGTAAGACAATATATATATATATATATATATATATATATATATATATATATATATATATATATATATATATATATATATATATATATATATATATATATATATATATATATATATATATATATATATATATATATATATATATATATATATATATATATATATATATATATATATATATATATATATATATATATATATATATATATATATATATATATATATATATATATATATATATATATATATATATATATATATATATATATATATATATATATATATATATATATATATATATATATATATATATATATATATATATATATATATATATATATATATATATATATATATATATATATATATATATATATATATATATATATATATATATATATATATATATATATATATATATATATATATATATATATATATATATATATATATATATATATATATATATATATATATATATATATATATATATATATATATATATATATATATATGCGCATGAAAGCGCTAGGGTGTAGGTGAGTGTGTCGTGAATGTGAATGTGCACGATTGATTAAGTTGCGATGTTGGTTCATTTTTAAACGAATTGATTTTTAAGGGGAATGTTGAGTTGATTTTATGAGAAAAATGTTTTATTTTGATGGGATTTGATTTTAAGCGAGCGTTGAATAAAAGGGAGAGCTTAATTAATTTTAGACGATGTTGGACTTGTTTATTGATTTTAGATGAAAGTTTTAAGTGATAAGTCAATTCTAAAGGGTGACCTTAAATAAAAGATTTCTTAAAATGTCTAAGAAGTTTATTTTATCTTATAAAGAGAAGAAAATGTTTAATATTTTTGTGGAAGGTGTTAATATAAATTAATTATGTATAGGTTAATTCAATTAAGACAAAATTTTCTAAATAAAAATATTAGTTTATTATTATCAAATAGGTTTCATTAAATAAGAGTGATATTAGATTATTTGAATTTATTTGTGAGAAAATGTTATAATTGGAGAAAGGATTAATTTTAATTACGAAATTAGATCATGAATTTGTTAGTTTTGATTTTAGTAAAAAGTTAAGGTTAGTTTAGATTTTATAGAAATAAAAGTCTACATGGATAAATTTTATTTAGATAAATTGGTTTTGTTTTTAAAAGGTTATTATTATTATGAGTAAATGACTACCAATTATTTAAATTATGAAATGGTTTTGCCTATATTAAAAAAAACGAACAAATTAATGTACATATCATTATTAATAAAAGTTATGAAGTGATGGGAATAAATTATTAATAAAGTTAAAAAACATTAAAAAGTTAATTGAATAGAAATGAACATGGCTAATTAAAAATGACTAATTAATTAAAAAAAAGTTGATTAAACGAAAAAGGTGGTTAATTCATTAAAACGGATGATTAAAAGAAAATGATTAGTTAATAGTTATTTAATTAGATTATAATAAAAAAATGGTAGAAAAGGATGGTTATTAATTAATTAGATTAAAAAAAATGTTGATTAAGTTAGATTAATGGCGGATTAGCGGTGATTAGTGGTGAGTGTATGACAAGTGGGTGTGTGATTAACGAAAAAATAAAACAAATTCAGAAAAAATGAGAAACCCTAAGTCCCCCCCCCCCCTTCCTCCATTCTCGATCTCGTCTCTCTCTCTCGCTCCCATCTCCTCTTCATCCCTTTCGATCCCGACCACCTTTCCGTTCCATCCTCTTCCAATTCTATACCTGAAATCATATCAAAAACATCAATAAATCAAGAACATGGATAAGGGTGAGAGTTTTACCGAAGGTTGGTGGTAGCGTTGGCGTTGGAGCTGGCAAGAATGGGATGTTCCGTCTGTTGAACTTGCGGCAGCCGGAAGTGGTTTCGCTTGCTCACTGAGATAAGTCACCTCGCTCGATCTTTCGGTAGCTGCGATTTCCGTATGAGGGTTTTTTCGTGTTGTTTTCTCTTCTTTCCCCTCTCCTTATATAGGCCTCAGAATAATAATGTCTTTGATTGTTGCTTTGAATGCTGATTGATGTTTTCCAAATTAGGGTGAATCAGATTTGAAAACATTCCTAATTAGCTTGATTGCTATAATGACTTGTCAAATTCTGATTTTGTGATTTAATTGAAACTGGATTTGATTTTTTTCTGAACCGAATCTTTACTTCCTCCAGTGGATATTCTTTAATGATTCTTGCTAATCCAATTGCTATCTTTCTGCAGGTGCGAATGATAAGGTATTTTGGGTCAGGGGATATACACACGGCCCAGGGCAAACTCTGATGCTGGTGGTGTGAAGAGTGCAGTGAGCCCAAGGTCTTATCTAAATCATAAAAGGAAAAACTTCTCTAGTTTTTGTTTACACGGTCATTAGAGTTGGAGTTTTCGTTTGAAGGTTCTTGACTTGAAGTTGAGATAACGTTGGTATATGCTCTGTGCTATTCATCCCGGTTGGGTCAGTTTGGAGTTCCCTAAGAATGAAGGAGGATAGTCTACAAGGTAATCTTCTGAATTATCACTAGTTTGATGCGTATGGTGTTATCTCGTATCTGTTTTAATCCAGTCTTATTGTTTCGTGTGCTGAGGAGGGTGCTTGGAAGCATAGCCGAGGGTGTTGTTGTCATGGTTAGAGCATTCTGATTCTCTTTCAATTCACATGTGGACCGTTACCTCTAACTGCAACATGACAACGGTGCCGGTGGTGATAATATTAGTGATGATACTAGAACTCCGTTGCCCTGTTGGATGGTGGATAGCTCAAGATCCAAATCTCCCTGAGCCTTTGGAAATTTACCAATGGATTTGACGTCCACTTTGTTGTTCTGGATTCCTATGAATTCATGAACCATAGCCTGATAGGTCCATTAATTTAGCAACGGGGTTACAGGGTCATCCCTCCTGTCAATCACCAACAACAATGGAGAAACTTCCATTCGCCTAAAATCGAAAAGACCATTTTCCTCTTGGTACATCAGTTTAGCTGCTTCCTGTGCTATTCTTTTTGCAATGTCAGATGTTCTTTGATATCTAATTACAGGTCTTCATTTTAATGCCAAAAAAAGAGCAGCCAGACCTTCAACAACCCGATCACTGAAACGCTGCAATGCTGAAGGGTCTATGACAGCTAGGAGCATATAAATGTAATTTGAAGGCACGTGGAAAGTGAAATGATAAGGATCAATAGCAACAAAGTCTGCATAGAACTCCTGAACTTGCTGGACGACTTCCTGTTCATCTGAATCAGCAAGTAAGTGAATATGATGGTCCTTCATTATGTTGGAGAAAAATAGGTGATACTCTCCAAATCTAGGACTAGCCAGCTGATGGCGCATATACTGAATATTCTCTGATGTAGGTCGAAGGAAGTAAATGGCCTTAAGATGCGACATTGGTTCGTTTGACTTGGAAATTGAATCCACCAATTCTACCAAAAACACTTCTTTCTGAAGAAGTTCTGACTGTGAGTACACAACACTCACAATACTTACCGTTTGAGAATCAAGGATTAGAACTTTCATGCCAGAGATGTCCGGCAAGATGCGGTTGAAGTAATCGCGCGCGGAGGATGTGAGAACCATGTTGTGTGTGGGAATTGAATCTCTAGAAGAAAGTGAATTGAAGAGGTTGCGAATCGACGAGTAGAGAAAGGTACTGAGACGAAGAAAGGTTCAGAGTTGAGAATTCAGAATTCAGATCCACCACCAGTGAGGACGACGACGAACGCTTGACGCACCGTTTTAGACTTGTTTGCTTCTTACCAACTCTTGTTATTTGATTCAACCTATGTTTGTGTATGTGGCTTTTATTCCCAGGTGTTGAGCTAATCGGGAAAGAACGTCGCTTACTTGAAGTACGTTTGGATATTTGGTACCGGCTTTGGTTGTATAGGAATTCTAAGGGCGTAGCTGCTGAGATTCAATGTCGTAACCTTTACCTTCATTAGCTACTGCTCGCGAAATTCAACAGTTCCAAATTGTATGATATAGGTGGTGATTGTGTGGAGCCAAATGCGGCATCGCCATTTCCTGATACTTTTTGGTACGGTAGTTCCTGATACTTTTTGGTACGGTAGTTCCTGATACTTGTCTTTGAACACTGCCGTTAATTTTGACATGTTGCACTTGGCGGGGACACGTGGGGGATTCAATCTTTGACAACTTTGTTTGGCGCGTGGAGGTGGTGTTTAATCATATTGTTTGTAGCTGATATTGAAGGTTGGCTGTTTGTGCCAATGAAGTTTGTTTGCCATCACCTGATCAAGTCTCACCATGCTAAATTATTCTCGAATCTGTAACTGCAGTCCTTCACTGATTCTATTCTGATTTTATTGTATTGCAGATCATCGAAAAAGAGGAGCTTTGATCGCGTAAGTAGCTTCTTTATTTGTTTATGTTCGACAAAGCCTGTGCTGCATTATCAACTCAAAATATGCCTCATTCTAATGTTGAAATCTAAATAATGGTATACATGGAGTTTTGTAGGTATATCCTTGCTCATGTTCCGAATTCATTTGCAGGGGGTTAGCTTGTTGTAAGCCGGTTTGCGGAGCGTGAAGTCCAATTCGGTAATCCCGTCTGAATTGTTTGAGAAGGAATCTGCTGAGCATGCTGCCTGTGCTGGTGCGCCTGGAAATTGCTGTCAATCCAAGCATCTTCGGTCAAAAGGGTGGCTTCGAGGCGCAAAAGCTACCTAGAAGTCTTCTTAAGTGGAAAACGTGAGGTATCTTTATAATCTTGATGATGTTAGGCCTGTTGTGACAGTTTGTTTTATTTTGGTCTTAAATCCATGAGATGCTGAGTCGAGTTATGATGAACATTGGGCGTTCCTGACTAATATCTCTTGATGTTCCTTTCAGTTGGTTATCATGGAGGTGCCGGCGGCGGGATTTTCTCATAATGCTAAAGCTGGTCGCGGAGTCCAAAAGAAGTTACAGGGGAGAAACACCTTAAAGCCTACAACCTTTGTTTTCCCAATGTAAACATGATATCAGATTTGTGTGATACTCAGCCGTGGGGATCCTAACTCCATTTAGTGTAGCTTTTGCCTTATGTAAAACTTGATGAAATGAATGTATTTTACTTTCAGAGTAAATAGTCTTGTAAAAAGTCTTTGAATGGTGATGAATGAATATAACTCTTGTACTTGAATTTTGACCTCTATCAATGCATTAGTGGGTCGGATCCCCTTTTGGATTAATTGACCAGTATTTGTGAAATGCTCTGATGTTTTGCAATGCTTGATTCCCCAGTAAACGTGGCTTGGATGATCCACCAACTGAATACTTAGACTTTAGTTGGCTTCCTTAGAACTTTGTCATAAACATGCCTTTGATCTTTGTACTCCTCTTTTTGTTATGATAAAGCTAGCTGTTTGATGGATGTAGTATAAGGAAAGAAATGACCAAGTAATGTTGAGGTAGTTTGTTGAGGATCTAGTTGTATGAATTTAATGAAATCCTTCGTCATTTGTACATTTACTAGAACAACTCAACCATATGTTGCGAAATGGATGAGTCACTTGAGTAGTATAATAGGAAACTTTTTCAATGTTGTGTCAAGTCTGATCCAAGCTCCATAATTATTTACTAAACCATCCATGCTGAATTCTTCCTTTTATTTACTAAAATTTGATGGGACCTGTCTTTCCTTATATGAATTATCCTTGAATTTGAATTCATTCTATCTTGCGCTAAAAACCTGTCAGGGGTGTCTTAAAAGGCGAGATGAACCTGCACATACTCGTTAGTTGTAAATAAAAATAAAGAGATAAAATGCGTGCAAACCAAAAGGAGGCGGAATCTTAAGGTCAAAAATTAGGGTGCAACAGATGCCCCTATTTAAGTTTCTTCTATCTGGAGTATGGAGATTGAAATCTCCGTCTCGACGAGATAGGAGGGACTTAAATACAAACATTGCGCGAATTTTTGGCCTTAAGAAGCCACCGAATGCAAATGATATGCAATGCTATGAGAAATGCAAGGCAGAGGGGTCCTGTGAGGAAATGATGTCACAGAGGAAAAACTAGTCACCACATACGGGAAGAATAGGTTCAACATAAGGAGACTCCACGGGAACAGGAAACGACTGCCAAAGAGAAATCTCTGAAAGTACAACAGCAACTCGAACGCCCAGGATATGGTGACTTAGACGATAGGTGAGAAGCTTATTATCATAATGTAGTGGTTGGTAATGATCCAAATGAATTGAGTCAATGGTTCAGTTTTATTTGGCATTCTTTTCTTTCTTTTCTCGTTTTTGTGTATATCTTTTCTTTTGGAACTCAACTTGAAAAAAAATGTGCAACTTCCCTTTGCATCACGATAAGGGTACCACGAGCTGGTCTCAGTCTCTGCCTGAAATGTCAAAATTTTGTAGATGGTAGAATCATTGTAGTTTGTAGATGTAGATGTAAATGTCGTTGTAAACGTTGTTGTAGTTGTAGAACTTCCCCGAGCGTCATGGTATGGGAACCACGAACTGGTCTCAGTCTCTGATGTAGAACTTCCCCGAGCATCGTGATATGGGAATCATGAGCTGGTCTCGGTCTCTGATGTAGAACTTCCCTGAGCATCGTGATATGGGAATCATGAGCTGGTCTCGGTCCCTGATGTAGAACTTCCCCGAGCATCGTGATATGGGAATCATGAGCTGGTCTCGGTCCCTTCCCGAAATGATGAAAACTCGTGAGAGCACCTTCATAGGGGGTTGTAATTTTGTAGATTGTAGATGTCGTTGTAGACTGTAAATATAGTTCATTGTAGAACCCTGTAGGTGTAGTTTGTTGTAGAACCCTGTAGGTGTAGTTCATTGTAGAACCCTGTAGATGTAATTTGACGTAATCTGTAGCTGTAGTTGTAAATTTGTAAATGTGATTGTAAATGTAGATGTAGCTTCACCGGGGATCTTCGGAAGAGATGTGAGCCGGTTGAATTGTAACGTATGTCTTCTCAAGTACGGATACTATTGTGGTAAACTTCTTTGACTTCTCCGGGGAGATGTCACTTGACGGAAGTAAACTTGTGTGATGAACTCACTGGGGAAGTTATTCCTGAGGGAAATGTCTGTAACTGTCTAATGTTGAAGGATCCACTAATGGTAAATGATTTGTCTTGTGAAAATTGTCGTTTTGTCGTTTTGAATAAGATCCTAATCAAAACGAGTTGCTCAAATAAAGAGATTGATGTTCGATAAAATCATGTGATGCTATTGTTGAAGAGATGTCTGTCTTTAGGAATATTCTTCCTGGGGAAAAGAGTGCAAAATAAATGCACACTTAATCCACGTTCATGATGTGATTTTCGAAGACCGAAGTTCAAATCGGGAAGTAGCCGAGAAGAAACTGTCAAGCAAGACTCGACCAATGAGGTATGAACTCAAATGGAATTGTACTAAAATAATCGTCTCCCATGAGGGTTGAACTTCATGGGGAAAATGAAACATTGTGCTCTTTTTGCCTAGGGACGAATCTAATTGGAAGGATAAGACACACCCAAACACCTAGGATAACTACAGCCAAGGCGATAGAAACAAACACAAAGAATGCGAAAATGCACATGCCATGCTGTCTACTTATATGCTATGCATATGCCTATGCTGACAAAACAGACAGAAAGAGGTGACAGAGATGAAATAAACATCTCGAGATAAACATCTCAACCAATCTTTGAAGATAGAAGCACCACTGGGGATAGACGGAGAACTAGATACGGGATCACAATCCTGCTTCAAAAAATCTCTTGAGGAACGGAGATCAATCCATTTGGGATGTAGCATCTTGATAAGTCTGAAAGGTTGTATGAAGATGTAGCCGGAGGTACCCAAACTGAAGTTTCCTAAGAGGATAAAATGAATATCCTGGGTCGTCACGGTTGTTGTTCATGTCGGAGTTGAGCTTCCTGGGGATGAAATGAACATCCGCCTCGCTTCAAATTTCAAATGCCCCAAGTCACATGGCTTAAGAGAAAAACATCTCGAGAGGATTTTATAGAAAACATGATGTCCAAATGTCCCACTATTTTCAAACTCTCTGAGAGATTCGCCGAATCTCGACGTAACTGCCCCTGATTGGCGGTTTAACTGAGTCTTCCAATTTGTGCTGTAGATGAAGCCAAACTCGTATGGATCAAACCTCTTGGAAAATAACTTGTCCCAGGTCGGCAAGGTCTTCAAATTTCAACAATGATGTCTGTATGTAATCTTTCTAAGATGTCGAGCGTATTTAGCAAGTCAGAAATGTTAATTTTGAAACGGGTAATGCAACACACGTTTGTCTTGAAGTTTTGAAAAGGGATATCGCAATAGCTGGTGACCGAAATCACTAGTTAGGATTAAAATTATTTATAAAGCCGATTTAATTTGAGCGTAGCTCAAGGAGTCAGGAAACAATATCTCATCGAGTATGCTTTCGAACTTCAATCAGGACTTATGACTGGTAAAATGGAGGAATAAAGGGTTAGTATATTTGTGCCCACCCAAAATTTTTTGAAATATGTTCATCATTGATATTACCCTGCCCCTGGCTAAAAATGAGATTTTGGTTTGGGAGAAAAAACAAATCTTTTCTCAAGGCTTGAAAAAGA